TGACGAGTGCGTAGAGAAATCGGTTTAGGATGGTGCACGAAAGAGCGTAATCTACGTGCTAACATGGAATCTGGTTTATTTGCTTTACTATACCACTTCTGACGTGTCCATCGCAAAGAGCGCTCAGCCTCATCAGTCAAACAGAGATCTAGTTCCAGGTGAGCCTGATCTAACAACCTATGGTTCGATGGGGTTGGTAACTGCTTGAATTGAGCCGACGCGGAAGCTAGCTTTGATTCCAGCTGACGCTGTTTATGTTGTCTATCCCTCTTCCATCTCGAAGCTATCTGAATAATGTGGCCCCTAAGAACAGCCTTGTAAGCTTCCCATAACGTCACCGAAGAAGAGACAGAACCCGAGTTTAGCTGAAAATATTCTTGGGATTTACGCAACAGTTCCACTTAAATCTCCTTCAGTGAAAGTAGGGAGTCATTCATAATCCAAGAGGTGTAGGATGGCTTACAGAGGAGAGATCGACAAACCACCAAAATGGGGTCATGATCGGACCATGGAACCCGTGAGGATAGAGACAGAGCGTACCAAAGGAAGATGTTTACGCAATACAAAAGCGTGGTCAATGCTAGAATGATGAGGGTGAAGTAGTAAGTATAATCTTTTCCCCGGGGGTGGAATTCACGCCACAGATCTACCAGGTCATGGGTACTTAACGTACGGCTGAAGGATTTGGCCGACGTGGAATAATTAGAGTTTTCTGCAGGGTATTTATCTAGGGATGGATTTAATACTAAATTGGAATCTACTGCCAGCAGAAGAGTACCCCGTTGATGGACAGCCAGGAGGGAGCAGATATGTGATAGAAAGGGTCCAGGGTTGACATTGGGAGCATAATAGGTCAGTATTGTAACATCGATACCCTGAATCGTGCCCTGCAATAAAAGATACCTGCTGCTTGGGTCAGCAATACGCTTCACACATACAAATGGGGTTTTGCTGTGAAAAGCAACAAGGACTCCCCTTTGTTTAGTAGGGCCAGTAGCCTGAAAAACCTGAGGGTAGCGTGCGTCGAAATATTTAGGGGCAGAGGTATTTGAAAAATGAGTTTCCTGCAGACAAGCAATGTGGACATGGCGAGCCCAGAGAAACTTAAATATCTTTACCCGTTTTTGCGGAGAGTTCATGCCCTGAACATTCAAGGATAACCAATTTAGTGACATGGCGATCGGAAGGGAAAAAGATCATCCCCACCACGATCCCCGAGAGCCCTGAAAAAAAAAATGTATAAACACACAAAAAACACACGACAAGAAACAGAGAAAAAAAAAAAAAAAGACAGAAAAAAAAAGGAAGAAAACAAGAAACCATCTGGTATACGAGCAATATTCATATGAAACAGTAAGATTAGCACAGACATCTTAATAATCCACTGTGGGTGAAATACCCACAAAAAGGCTGGGTAGCGGGCAGGACACTAAACCAGACCACTAACCAGCTCGGAGGGGGACACCATAGTCCACCGGAACTACTCGACTTAGTTAAGGCAAGAAAATACTAAACAAACAACTTAGGCTAATAAACCCAGGAACAATTAACCTATAGATGGCTAGTAAGGCAATAAGAAACTCAGTAGACTAGAACTTCAAAAATGAAGATGCTCCAAAATAGCCGGAGGGGTGAAACCGCCCACGGGACCACCCCGTGAGCAGAGTCTCACCCGCGGCCTGAGGTCCACCGCCAGGTCCGCCCATCAACTATAACATAAGTAGAAGCATCTATACAGAACATGGTTATTTAGGCACTAGCCGCTGTGGAGAAAGTGCTACAAGGCATGACTGCATAGGAATACCTAAGGGCAATGTCGCCCGCATCTCAAAGAGTAAAAAACAAATGTGAAAACCCAACCGGACACAGAATGTTAAGTCGCAGAAACCTCCTGGAAACGTTGGGCCTGCAGAGATCGAAGAGCCTGAGAGCTACTCTGACTTGGAGGAGATTTACGCGAAGACTGGGAACTTCGAGGGCACGTAGAAACTGTAGCCTCCTCGTTCTGGGAGTGTGGCAACTCCAATCTCAGTTCCTGAAAGTGACGGCGAAGATCCGCTGGTGAAGAAGCTTGGAACGGACGACTTTGGAAGGAGAAAGAAACTTGATATCAGCTGATTGTAAAAATCTGGAGGTAGGGCCTCAGGGTACGACGTTTGGCAATTGTGATTGGGGACAAATCCCCAAACAGCTGAATAGAGTGACACTGAAATTTGAAAGCCGGACGATTCCGAGCAGCCTGTAGAAGACACTCTTTAGTGCGGTAAAAGTGGAATTTAATGATAATGTCCCTGGGAGGGCCCTCCGTGGGTTTAGGAGCTAAAGCTCTATGGATACGGTCAAACTCCAGTCGTTCCAGAGGGATCTCAGGAGCCAGTTCCTGGAAGAGAGCGGTAGCAGTACCCTGTAGATCGGTGATTACCTCAGGAATCCTGCGGATGCGGAGATTATCCCTGCAATCTCTATTCTCAACGTCTTCCAACTTATCTTTTAAAGTGTCTAGCTCAGCATGCAGATCATCCACCTCCTGTTCATGGCCCTCCAAGACCGTAGTTGCCAGATCCATACGTTCTATTTGATGGGCATGATGGCCCAATTCCTTTAGGCCTCTTACCAGATCAGAAGATAACTTACGAGAGGCAACTGTAATCTCCTCTCGCACTATAGAGCGAAATTTGTGTAGCAAGACTTCAGGGTTTTGTTCAAGAGGGCCAGTCAGTCCCGATGGAAACTGCTGCTGACTATCGCCATCCGACTTAGGATCCCCTGTAAGCTGCGTGAAGTCATCAGGCTCTGGGGGACTGGGCGTTAGCTTGCTAGTGTGACTATGCGGAGGTGATTGCTGCTGGGCCCGGTGTTTTGGTTTGGTGCGAGGGGTACGATGCATTTTTAGGAGAAGTCCTGGTAGGTCACAGACACCTTCAACCAGTTGAAATTATACGCCAGGGTGTAGAGGCCCAATTGTCGAGATATATGTTCCGGTGGCACGGCACAGGGAGATCACTGGCTCATCATCCCCGATTACGTGAGCGTGTCCCCCGACGGGGTTGCTTTCACATAAGATCCATTGCGGCGGAACACATCATGCGTCCCGCCACAGCCAATAAATTGTAGAAAAGATTATTGCACTGGGAAGGGAGGAGTAGATATAGACTGCAGATGTAGCTGTAGCGGTACCTGCCATAGGGTGATGAAGACCCAGGTAGAGCAGGCGTAGGCCCCAAGATCACAGCAGCTGGTGGGGCGTGAGGGTCCGCAACAATCAGGCCAGGCGGTCAGCAACAATGGAGGCCTGCAAGGGGGGGCCACAGGAGCCCCTGATTTACACTCTATGGAAAGGGGGCTGATGGTTAAAGCCTCCACCCCTATCAAGGGCCGCTCATCCGCTTCGGTGGGCCTCCAGGCCCTATGAGATTATATGTAAGCCTGGCGTGGTCCCCAGGACCGACACAGAAAGCCAGGGGGACCCACACAGGCTGTCCCAGCAGCTGACCTTATAACAGGGGGCCGGGAGGCAGAGCGGCGTCTCGTCCCGGCCGTGATAGCGGGAAAGACCGCGGCTTCACACTCCGCAAAAGTGTCCGGTGCTCCGAACGGCCGGATGGGGGACAAAAACGCCCGGTACCCCTCCTCAGATGTCAGGCAGGGTCAGCAGAGCCTCCGGTGGCCGTGTAAGGCCCGCTGTTGCCTGGATAGCAGCAGATTCTAACTTTAGGGTGCCAGAGCTCAGGATCAGACGTCCGCTCCGGTCGCCATCTTGGACACTCCCTTGGGTCTCTTGGATTTCTATTACTCTACTACACCTGCTAGTAAATTATTTGCCATGTAGAAATATTTCTACCAAAAACAGTGATTGATGAGGTTAGTGATGTCTGACTGCTATTATTTTGAACACAACTGTAATTTCCTGCTTGTGTGTTCGACGCATTGATTTTTCTTTTTTGTCTGCACCCATTGCAATAGGAATTAAGTTTTGGTGAGATTCTCCCCAGTGTTAAAGGATAAGTTCATTTTCATAACATTCAGGGTGTAACATATCATGTCACTAAATAAGAAACCCCAAGTCCCCGTTGTGACAGTGGGCAGGGGATCTTTTTCCCGCACCCGATGCCACCAATTTAAAAAAAAATGCAGCTGTGTTGGGCTTTGCCCACCCAGCCTCATCATTCATTCACAGAGTTCTGTGAATGAGAGAACTACAACTACCTTCAACCATTGCAACTGGCAGCTTGTAGTTCTCAATGAACTACAAGGGCACTGGTGAGCGCTCTAGTAGTTCATTGATTCTTCCTACCAGTAACCGCTGCCCCATTTGAGGTATGGGTGGACTGCTGTACTTAGTGTCTGCAGGATCCTGGGATTGCAATAGATTGCAGGTGCAATGTTTTACAGGCTCCCACTAAAAATTATTATTATTATTATACAGTATTTATAAAGCTAAACAAATAAATGCATTTTTTTGTCCTGCAAAAAGATGTGCATTTATTATTTTTTTTAAAGGTGAACATATCCTTTAACTACTTCTAAAGGGATTCAGACCCAGCAGCTTTTCTCATTAGAACACTGGGAGTGTGCCAGATAATTATAATGAACCAGTCCCTCCCATTCAGAATCAGTATCCCAAAGGACACAAACACAGAGCAAACCTCAGAGCAAAGAAACAGACCCAAGTATCTGCTACTAAGCTTGTCAAAATTCCTGCAAAGTTCATTGATCACCCAGAGGGGAATTTTTATTCTTATGAAAAGCGATTAAATTATTTGACTAGATAGAATGGATAGACAAAGAATTTGTACTCTTCCTGGATAAAATCCAAAACCCCTTTGTACTGGTCATGTGATTGAAAGCCTGTGCATTTAGTTATGTTATAGAAACAGCCATTCTCATTCCTGGCCATCACTTGTAGCAGAGGTTAGGTAACTAAAAGCGAAAGCATGGTTATTTTTGAACAGCACTCCTACATGTAGAGATTACCTTCCTAAAAACCTGTGTACACCTACCTTCCTTTTTTCTTGTTGATAAGTGCAATGGTGTAGTCATCATTCAGATTGTTGCTGTAGTCACTGATCCCAAAGTGCTGTATTTGTGAAAAGTCTTCCTCTTTTGTTAGTGAACATTTAGGAGTCTTAGCCACATTTAGTGTATGGATTTCTTTATATAAGGGCTTGGGCTTTTCTTCTGGTATTTTAACATGCAGCTTATCATTCTGTGGTTCCCACACCATGGGCAGCTGGTAATGAGACAGACCAAAGTCTGATAACTGAGGTGCCCGCAGATCCAATATTGCTTGCGTCTGTGTTGCTAGAGGAGCAGGAGGAAGGTCTGCTGGATCTGTGCTGTGGTTGCTCCCAGCAGCACCATCAGGTTTGGGATTTTCACTAAATACCTCATTTTCTGAAAAAAACAAAAAAACAAAAAAAAAAAAAATCAGATTTTTGTACTCACCAGAAAATCCTTTTTTTAAAAAAAAAAAAAAAAAAACAAACAAAAAACCATTAGGGGACAAAGTAAAAGTGAAACATGAGTTTTGAAGCTGCCTATAGGAAGGCTGGACACTGGCAAACAAATTGTAGGTCAACCCAGGATAACCAATCCCACTACCAGCATGCTTCAATTCTGTAACAATCAGTATCAAGGGCATGGATTATAAATATAGGGGTAAGAACTGTGTCCCTATATGGACTATGGGAAAAGGATTTTATAGTGGGTACCAACTAATTTTTTTCTCATCCATTGAGGGACAAAGTAGGTGTGAAACCTTCAGGACATCCAAAAGCAGTACAACTGAGGGAGGACAACAGGCTCAAGAAAACAGAACCAGTGACTGTTTACGCTCAAAGAGCCACCCAGAGGCCCTTACACTTGAAGCTAGTATCAAATAAAGCCCAAACATCCACTCAGTAGAACATGTGAACAGAAGACCAGGTGGCAGGCTTGAAAATCTAGGGAACAACAGCCTGATGGCAAAAAGCTCAGTAGGCACTCACAGATGTAGTAGAGAGTGTGCCTTGACTGGAAAGGGGAAACTTGATCCTTTAGACCAGGCATCACTAAATGGCAGACTGGGGTCTGGTTGCGGACCAAGTAACTGTCCCATCTGGACCCATGCAGTCCTGCCATTTAAGAGCCTTTTATTCCCCCATCTGTCTCGCGGTCATCCTCACAGAGCTGACAGCGGGAGGTAGGACAGTTCTGGATGTAGGATGGAAGCTGCCCGAGGTTAACAAGCAGGTGATTGGTTGCTAGGATGAAGGGCAGTCCTAGCAATCAATCACTGTCTGTGTAAGGTGTGGGTGTGTGTGGGTGGGGGGGAGTTAAAGGGGCTAATGACAGTGTGAAGAGGGGGGCTGAGGACAGTAAGGTGGGGGGCTAAGGACTGTGGTGTGGGGGAGGGGTAATCTGGAAACAGTAATGTGGGGGGATGATGTAAAAAGGGGTAGATTACTCTGCAGTGAAGAGGCTGAGGACAATACTGTTAGGGGGGGGTTGATATCAAGGAAGTGTGAGAGCATTACTGTGAGAGGGGTGGAGGGGGGTGATGTAAAGGGGAAGCGGAAGACCCTCATCAAGAGGCATCTTGCTGTGAATGAGGAGGGGACTGTGATGTGCAGTAGGCATTGAGGACACTGATGTGGGTAGGTCAGCACTACCTGCTAGAAATCTGAAGACGACCTTTTTTTTTTCAAAATCGCATCGCAGCAACACATGGTTTGGCGCACACGAAAATGCACCACAGGGGCCTACATGAGATTCGGACCTCTGATGCATGAACATTTTACGGCCCAGACCTTGGTGAATTTAATTCAATACTGCTTTAGACCAGAAGCTTGAATGATGGTCTGCTGAACCACATCCAGGTAATGAAGAGAAAACTCCATTTGATGAACTGAAGCCAGGAGGTTTGCGGTGGACAGAAGATCATTGTTCTGGTTGAGGTGAAGGTAGCAAACTGCCCTAAGTAGGAAGGAAGTCCTAGGCCTCAGCACCACTATGTTTTTTCTAGGATTAGACCTCTAGCTCAGACACTCACTTTGCCAAGGTGATGTTTCCACAAAACACCACCATGTGGGACAGAATGGAGTGGGGAATGTACTTAATGCATTTGAAGGGTGGTTTTTAAAGCACTAACAGAACGAGATTCAGATCCCATGGAGTAAAAGCAGTATGGAGAGGGTAGCCACACAGGGGACATTCTGAGACAACTGGCATTTCATTGCTTAAGACCTTTGTTCAAACAAAGCAAGAGCTGGGACCTGGCATTTGATAGTGCAAAGAGCCAAATGCTGGTCCAGAACCAGCTGCAGGAAGTATAAGATAGGATTCATCCCACAGAGGATCTCCTAGGGTAGAAGTATTTCGAGTACAAAAGTAAACCTTACAAGAAGTAGACTGCACAGCTTTTAGCATTTGGGAATAAGACTCCAGTCTCCCAGAAACTGGGCACTGACATCCATGCTGTCAAGACTGCAACCTTGAAGCAGGATGTCCTGCTCCAGTCCATGAGACAGAAGATCCAGAAAATTTCTGCCATCTGCCAGAAGTGTTACCAGGTCAGAGTGCCACATCCATCTGAGCAATTAGGATCACCAGAATGGCCTTCACCTTTATTCTGTGAAGCAGATGAGGAAAAGCTTCAAGGGAGGAAAGAAAAAGTGGCCCCATTTACTTGAATGAGTTGTGATTGGCAGGTGGTAGTACCCACCAAAAGCAACCGAGGATTTAATTCCTGCTGCGGCATGTGTACACCTTTGGCTGCTGCCTTAGCACCTAAAGGGGGTAGGGATAGGAGGCGGTAAAACCACAACTCAACCACAGTGTTTAAACCCCTCCCCCCAGCTTTACGTGTGAACAAGCTCTAAGGGTACCGCTACCAAATGCAACTAAGGGCTAATTCACAAGTGAAGCAGTGCTCCTCTAAAAAATTATCCAAGTGTGTTTGACAGGAGGCGATATGTTGCCTCTGCACCACCTGATTTAAATCCATGATTGTCGTACCATAACGCAATTGCGATATGGTAGTACAGTAATTAGAAGTTTAAATCAGGTCCGAGGAGGCGACACTGTGCCCGGTGCTCTTGACTTCTACTATGTTGTTTAGGTAGATCTTCACCTCTTTAAAGAATAAGTTCACCTTTGGGAACATGTAACATGTTCCACCTGTTTTTAGGGTGGAACATGTAACATGTTCTCAATGCCGCAGCCACTGCCCGCTGCCCCGTTCCCTGTACTATTTGTCAGATTTAAAAAACATCCGCATCTTTTATTCACAGAGTTCTGTGAATTAACTACAAGTCCCGACAGCCTTAGCAGATGGCGGCTTGTAGTTCCAAATGAATCACTAAATCTTCCTGTCCGTATATCTGTTTGCTCATACATCCAGTGTGGAAAGCAGATATACTGACAGGTCTGCAGGAGATCTGCTGATCGCTGTCGCAATGCTTTACAGGCTCCTGCAGCCAAAAATAATAAATGCACATTTTTTTACCTGCAAAACAATGTGCATTTATTATTTTTGAGCAAAAGGTGAAGTTATCCTTTAAAGTTGCCCTACCCTGCTGTATAGTCTTAAAGTCATAACTCGTATCTCTAAATCAATATGCAATAAAATAACGAAGACCTAGGAGGGTCAACATACAGGATCCAAGTTAATTAAATGTGATAAAAAATTTCTATAGTATCATTCTTGATTGTGTCTGTTCTAAAGTGTTTATTTTCTATAGTTTAAGGAAACCTGCAGAGAGGCTGCAGGTATTGAAAAGAAACATGGACAGGGCTGGTTGCTATAGACAAGATATTTTCATTTTAGCACAATTTCATACATCATCCCTAAAGGAGCTTAGAGGCAACTTAGCACTTCGTTACTTTTGTATCTCAATAAAAGGAGTTTTCATTCAAAGCACAATGAAAGAAAACCCTGTCAAAACAACAGTCCATGATAAAGGAAAAACACCGCTTGGAAGAAATTTGTGACAAAAATAGCAATTTGCTGCTTCAAAGGGCTGCTTACTACTTTCAGTGCTTTCCAGTTCGATTCCACACCTTCTAGCACCACAGTCTAATAGTTCTGCTAATGGGAAATTCGCTATCAAAGATTTACCTGATGTGTCAGTGTCAGGGGGTTTATATCCATACTTTTGAAAAGTATCTTTAGCCTGATGGATATCTGAACAGTTTCTTGTCTGCAGCACTCTGCAAATCTTTAAAAATGCATTCAGTTCATCGCCTCTCCTGCAGTTTCTGTCAATACTGCCTTGAATATCAGTCTGTTAGAAATAAATGAAGAAAACTTAAAAGTACAGAAAAGAAAGTAATAGTTCAGCTATATCAGCAATGAATAACCATGACTTTCCCATCTTGCTTCAGGCTTACAGAGTGGACAACTTCTGTGACCATAAAACACACGCGAGTAATATTGTACATGTTGGCTCCTGGAATGGTGAAAAGCTGCCTTGCTGTGGGTACACTAAACAATATATAGTAAAGAGTGCTTGCATCTGAGATCTAATATGAAAATTGCTATTTTGTAGAGGAGGGAAAGTTGAGACATTTATAGGCCACAGTCTCTTCACCACTCCAAGCTGCTTGATCACCGATACCTGCAGTATCTGCTACTGATCTTCACAATTTTAGGTGTCTATTAGAGGTTTACCAGAAAACAGCAACAGTGTCATTTACCGGGTTTAACCTCTTGCCGACCGCGCATAGCCGAATGACGGCTTCACCGCGGCCGGCCAGTTCTGAGTGGACGTCATATGACGTCCTCCCAGAACGCGCTCTCCTGCACGCCCCAGGGGGCGCGCACCCGGCGATCTCCGTGATCGCTGTGTCCTACGGACACAGCTGATCACGTGATGTGGTGAAAGGCCGATCCCACCGGCCTTTTACCACGTGATCAGCGGTGTCCAATGACACGCTGATCACAGAAAAAGGCAAGTGCCGGTTCTCGGCTGCACTTTCCTCACGCTGTCAGATCGTGAGGAAAGTACTGCCGAGAACCGGCAGTTGTCAGAGCGGGGATCGGCACCGATCATCAGGGCACTGATGATCAGTGCCCTGATGATCGGTGCCCAGCAGTGACACCCGCAAGTT